CAAGGGCCTAGCGTGTGCAAAAAAAAAAGAACAAGGGTCTAGCATGTGAAAAATTGCAAGAACAAGGGCCTAGTGTGTGCAAAAAAAAAAGAACAAGGGCATAGCGTGTGCAAAATAGCAAGAACAAGGGCCTAGCGTGTGCAAGATAAAAAGAACAAGGGCCTAGCGTGTGCAAAATAAAAAGAACAACGGCCTAGCGTGTGCAAAATTGCAAGAACAAGGGCCTAGCGTGTGCAAATTTGCAAGAACAAGGGCCTAGCGTGTGCAAAATAAAAAGAACAAGGGCCTAGCGTGTGCAAACAATCAAGAACAAGGGCCTAGCGTGTGCAAAATAAAAAGAACAAGGGCCTAGCGTATGCAAAATAAAAAAAACAAGGGCCTAGCGTGTGCAGAATTGCAAGAACAAGGGCCTAGCGTGTGCAAAATAGCAAGAACAAGGGCCTAGCGTGTGCAAAATAAAAAGAACAAGGGTCTAGCATGTGCAAAATTGCAAGAACAAGGGCCAAGCGTGTGCAAAATAAAATAACAAGGGCCTAGCGTGTGCAAAATTGCAAGAACAAGGGCCTAGCGTGTGCAAAATTGCAAGAACAAGGGCCTAGCGTGTGCAAACTTACAAGAACAAGGGCCTCGCGTGTGCAAAATTGCAAGAACAAGGGCCTAGCGTGTGCAAAATAAAAAGAACAAGGACATAGCGTGTGCAAAATAGCAAGAACAAGGGCCTAGCGTGTGCAAAATAAAAAGAACAAGGGCCTAGCGTGTGCAAAATAAAAAGAACAAGGACCTAGCGTGTGCAAAATAAAAAGAACAAGGGCCTAGCGAGTGCAAAATAGCAAGAGCAAGGGCCTAGCGTGTGCAAAACATCAAGAACAAGGGCCTAGCGTTCGCGAAATAGCTTGAAAAAAGGCCTAGCGTGTGCAAAATAAAAAGAACAAGGGTCTAGCATGTGCAAAATTGCAAGAACAAGGGCCTAGCATGTGTAAAATAAAAAGAACAAGGGCATAGCATGTGAAAAATACAAAGAACAAGGGCATAGCGTGTGCAAAATAAAAAGAACAAGGACCTAGCGTGTTCAAAATAAAAAGAACAAGGGCCTAGCGTGTGCAAAATTGCAAGAACAAAGGCCTCGCTTGTGCAAAATTGCAAGAACAATGGCCTAGCGAGTGCAAAATAGCAAGAGCAAGGGCCTATCGTGTGCAAAAAATCAAGAACAAGGGCCTAGCCTTCGCGAAATAGCAAGAACAAGGGCCTAGCATGTGCAAAATAAAAAGAACAAGGGTTTAGCATGTGCAAAATTGCAAGAACAAGGGCCTAGCATGTGCAAAATAAAAAGAACAAGGGCATAGTGTGTGAAAAATAAAAAGAAAACAAGGGCATAGCGTGTGCAAAATAACAAGAACAAGGGCCTAGCGTGTGCAAAATAAAAAGATTAAGGGCCAAGCGTGTGCAAAATTGCAAGAACAAGGGCCTAGCATGTGCAAAATTGCAAGAACAAGGGCCTAGCGAGTGCAAAATAGCAAGAGCAAGGGCCTAGCGTGTGCAAAAAATAAAGTACCAGGGCCTAGCGTTCGCGAAAAAGCAAGAACAAGGGCCTAGCGTGTGCAAAATAAAAAGAACAAATGCCTAGCGTGTGCAAAAATGCAAGAACAAGGGCCTAGCGTGTGCAAAATTGCAAGAACAAGGGCCTAGCGAGTGCAAAATAGCAAGAGCAAGGGCCTAGCGTGTGCAAAAAATCAATAACAAGGGCCTAGCGTTTGTGAAATAGCAAGAACAAGGGCCTAGCGTGTGCAAAATAAAAAGAACAAGGGTCTAAAATGCAAAATTGCAAGAACAAGGGCCTAGCGTGTGCAAAATATAAAGAACAAGGGCATAGCGTGTGAAACATAAAAAGAACAAGGGCATAGCGTGTGCAAAATAAAAAGAACAAGGGCCTAGCGTGTGCAAAATAAAACGAACAATGGCCTAGCGTGTGCAAAATTGCAAGAACAAGAGCATAGCGTGTGCAAAATAGCAAGAACAAGGGCCTAGCGTGTGCAAAATAAAAAGAACAAGGGCCTAGCGTGTGCAAAATAAAAAGAACAAGGGCCTAGCGTGTGCAAAATTGCAAGAACAAGGGCATAGCGTGTGCAAAATTGCAAGAACAAGGGCCTAGCGAGTGCAAAATAGCAAGAGCAAGGGCCTAGTGTGTGCAAAAAATCAAGAACAAGGGCCTAGCGTTTGCGAAATTGCAAGAACAAGGGCCTAGCGTGTGCAAAATAAAACGAACAAGGGTCTAGCATGTGCAAAATTGCAAGAACAAAAGCCTAGCGTGTGCAAAATAAAAAGAACAAGGGCCTAGCTTTTGCAAAATAAAAAGAACAAGGGCCTAGCGTGTGCAAAATTGCAAGAACAAGGGCCTAACGTATGCAAAATTGCAAGAACAAGGGCCAAGCTTGCCTGGTCTAGGATCTTTCCTGGTCTAGGAGCTTGCCTGGTCCAGGAGCGTACTTGGTCCACGTGTTTGCGTGGTTTAGGAGCTTGCCTGGTCCAGGAGCTTGCCTGGTCCAACAGCTTGCCTGGTCCAAGAGCTTGCTTGGTCCAGGAGCATGCCTGGTCCAAGAGCTTGCCTGGTCCAGGAGCTTGCCTGGTCCAGGAGCTTGCTTGGTCCAGGAGCGTGCCTGGTCCACGAGTTTCCCCAGTCCAGGAGCTTGATTGGTCCAGGAGCTTGCCTGGTCTATGATCTTGCCTGGTCCAGTAGCTTGCCTGGTGCAGGAGCGTGCCTGGTCCATGTGTTTGCGTGGTTCAAGAGCTTGCCTGGTCCACGAGTTTGCCAAGTCCAAGATCTTACCTGGTCCAGGAGCTTGCCTGGTCTAGGATCTTTCCTGGTCCAGGAGCTTGCCCGGTCCTGGAGCGTGCTTGGTCCACGAGTTTGAGTGGTCCAGAAGCTTGCCTGATCTAGGAGCTTGCCTGGTCCATGAGTTTGCCTGGTCCAGGAGCTTGCTTGGTCCAGGAGCTTGCGTGGTCCACGAGCTTGCGTGGTCTAGGAGCCTGCCTGGTCCAGGAGCTTGCCTGGTCTAACAGCTTGCCTGGTCGAAGAGCTTGCTTGGTCCACGAGCGTGAATGGTCCAAGAGCTTGCCCGGTCCAGGAGCTTGCCTGGTCTAGGAGCTTGCTTGGTCTAGGAGCATGCCTGGTCCAGGAGCTTGCCTGGTCCAGGAGCTTGCCTGGTCTAGGATCTTTCCTGGTCCTGGAGCGGGCTTGGTCCACGAGTTTGCATGGTCCAGGAGCTTGCCTGGTCTAGGAGCTTGCCTGGTCTAGGAGCATGCCTGGTTCACGAGCCTGCCCGGTCCAAGAGCTTGCCTGGTCCATGAGCGTGCCTCGTCCACGAGCGTGCCTGATCCAGGAGCTTGCCTGGTCCAGGAGCTTGTGTGGTCCAGGAGCTTGCGTGGTCTAGGAGCTTGCCTGGTCCAGGAGCTTGCCTGGTCAAAGAGCTTGCCTGGTCCAGGAGCTTGCTTGGTCCAGGAGCTTGCCTGGTCCAGTAGCTTCCCTGGTCTAGGAGCTTGCCTGGTATAGGAGCTTGCCTGTTCCAGGAGCGTGCCTGGTCCACAAGTTTCCCTGGTTTAGGAGCTTGCCTGGTCTAGGAGCTTGCTCGGTCCAGGAGCTTGCCTTGTTCAAGAGCTTGCCTGGTCCAGGAGCTTGCCTGGTCCAGGAGCGTGCTTCGTCAACAAGCCTGCCTGATCAAGGAGCTTGCCTTGTCCAAGAGCTTGCCTGGTCCAAGAGCTTGCCTGGTCCAAGAGCTTGCCTGGTCCAAGAGCTTGCCTGGTCCAAGAGCTAGCTTGGTTCAGGAGCTTGCCTAGACCAGGAGCTTGCCTGGTCCAGGAGCTTGCCTGGTCCAGGAGCTTCCTTGGTCCAGAAGCTTGCCTGGTCCAAGAGCTTGCGTGGTCCAGGAGCGTGCCTGGTCCAAGAGCTTGCGTGGTCCAGGAGCTTGCCTAGTCCAAGAGATTGCCAGGTCCAGGATTTAACCTGGTCCACGAGCATGCCTCGTCCAGGAGATTGCCTGGTCAAAGAGCTTGCCTGGTCCAGGAGCTTGCCTCGTCCACAAGCCTGCCTGGTCTAAGAGCTTGCGTGGTCCACGAGCGTGCCTGGTCCACGAGCGTGCATGATCCACGAGCTTGCTTGGTCCACGAGCTTGCCATGTCCAGGGGCGTGCCTGGTCCAAGGGTGTGCATGGTCCACGAGCGTGCCTGGTCGACGAGCTTGCCTGGTCCAGGAGCTTGCCTGGTCCAGGAGCTTGCCTGGTCCAGGAGCTTGCCTAGTCCATGAGCGTGCCTTGTCCAAGAGCTTGCCTGGTCTAGGAGCTTGCCTGGTCCAGGAGCTTGCCTGGTCCAAGATCTTGCCTGGTCCAGGAGCTTGCCTGGTCCAGGAGCTAGCTGGTCCAGGAGCTTGCCTGGTCCAGGAGCTTGCTTGGTCCAGAACCGTTCCTGGTCCAAGAGCTTGCCTGGTCTAGGAGCGTGCCTGGTCCAAGAGCTTGCGTGGTCCAGGAGCTTGCCTTGTCGAGGAGCTTGCCTGGTCTAGGAGCGTGCCAGGTCCAGAAGCGTGCCTGGTCCAGGAGCTTGCCTGGTCAAGGAGCTTGCCTGGTCCAGGAGCTTGCCTGGTCCAAAAGCGTGTTTGGTCCACGATACTGCCTGGTCCAAGAGCTTGCCTGGTTCAGGAACGTGCCTGGTCCACGAGCGTGCCTGGTCCAGGAGCTTGCCTGGTCGAGAAGCTTGCCTGGTCCGGGAGCTTGCCTGGTCCAGGGGCTTGCCTCGTCCGGGAGCTTGCTTGGTCCAGAAGCCCGTCTGGCCTAACAGCTTGCGTGGGCCCGGAGTGTGCCTGGTCCAAGAACTTGCGTGGTCGAGGAGCTTGCCTAGTCCAAGAGCTTGCCTGGTCCAAGAGGGTCCACGTCCACGTCCACGTCCACCTCCATGTCCACGTCCACGTCAACGTCCACGTCCACGTCCACGTCCACGTCCACGTCCACGTTCATCTACAAGTCCACGTCCACGTCCACGTCCATGTCCACGTCCAAGTCCTCCACGTCCACGTCCACGTCCATGTCCACGTCCACGTCTACGTTCAGGTCCACGTCCACGTCCAAGTCCACGTCCACGTCCACGTCAACATCCACGTCCACGTCCACGTCCACGTCCACGTCCACGACAATGTCCACGTCTACGTCCACGTCCACGTCCAGGTCCACGTCCACGTCCACGTCCACGTCCATGTCCACGTCCATGTCCTCCACGTCCACATCCACGTCCATGTCCACGTCCACGTCCACGTCCATGTCCACGTCCACGTCCATGCCACGTCCACGTCCACGTCCACGTCCATCTCCACGTCCACGTCCACGTCCACATCCACGTCCACGTCCACGTCCACGTCCATGTCCACGTCCAAGTCCTCCACGTCCACGTCCACGTCCACGTCCAGTCCACGTCCACGTCCACGTCCACGTCCACTTTCACGTCTATGTCCCCACGTCCACGTCCACGTCCACGTCCATGTCCACGTCCATGTCCACGTCCACGTCCATTTCCACGTTCACGTCCATGTCCACGTCCACGTCCACGTCCATGTCCACGTCCACCTCCACGTCCACGTCCACGTCCATGTCCACGTCCACATCCATGTCCACGTCCACGTCTACGTCCACGTCCACGTCCACGTCCATCTCCACGTCCACGTCCACATCCACGTCCACGTCCATGTCCACGTCCACGTCCAGGTCGATGTCCACGTCGACCTCCACGTCCACGTCCACGTCCATGTCCACGTCCACGTCCACGTCCACGTCCATGTCCACGTCCACGTCCACGTCCACGTCCATGTCCACGTCCTCGTCCACGTCCATGTCCACGTTCTCGTCCACCTCCATGTCCACGTCCACGTCCATGTCCATGTCCACGACACGTCCACGTTCATGTCCACGTCCACGTCCACGTCCATGTCCACGTCCACGTCCACGTCCATGTCCACGTCCACGTCCATGTCCACGTCGATGTCCACGTCCACGTCCACGTCCACGTCCAGTCCACGTTCAAGTCCTCCACGTCCACGTCCACGTTCATGTCCACGTCCACGACCACGTCCACGTCCACGTCCACGTCCATGTCCACGTCCACGTCCACGTCCACGTCCACGTCCACCTCCATGTCCACGTCCATGTCGACGTCCACGTCCACGTCCACTTCCCTGTCCACGTCCACGTCCATGTCCACGTCCACGTCCATGTCGACGTCCACGTCCACGTCCACGTCCCTGTCCACGTCCACGTCCACGTCGACGTCCATCTCCACGTCCACGTCCACATCCACGTCCACGTCCACGTCCACGTCCATCTCCACGTCCTCGTCCACGTCCATGTCCACGTACACGTCCACCTCCATATCCACGTCCACGTCCACGTCCATGTCCACGTCCACGTCCACGTTCATGTCCACGTCCACGTCCATGTCCACGTCCATGTCCACGTCCACGTCCATGTCCACTTCGACATCCACGTCCACGTCCACGTCCAGTCCACGTTCAAGTCCTCTACGTCCACGTCCACGTCCATGTCCACATCCACGTCCACGACCACGTCCACGTCCACGTCCACGTCCATGTCCACGTCCACGTCCACGTCCACGTCCACCTCCACGTCCACCTCCATGTCGACGTCCACGTCCACCTCCCTGTCCACGTCCACGTCCATGTCCACGTCCATGTCCATGTCCACGTCCATGTCCACGTCCATATCCACGTCCACGTCCACGTCCACGTCCATGTCCACGTCCACGTCCACGTCCACGTCCATGTCCACGTCCACGTCCACGTCCACGTCCACGTCCATGTCCACGTCCACGTCCACGTCCACTTCCACGACAATGTCCAGGTCCACGATAATGTCCACGTCCATGTCCACGTCCACGTCCACGTCCACGTCCACGACCCTGTCCACGTCCACGTCTTCGTCCACATCCACAACAATGTCCACGTCCACGTCCACGTCCATGTCCACGTCCATGTCCATGTCCACGTCCACATCCACGTCCATGTCCACGTCCACATCTACGTCCACATCCATGTCCATGTCCATGTCCACGTCCACGTCCATGTCCATGTCCACGTCCACGTCCATGTCCACGTCCACGTCCACGTCCACGTCCACGTCCATGTCCACGTCCACGTCCACGTCCACATCCACATCCAGTCCACGTTCAAGTCCTCCACGTCCACGTCCACGTCCATGTCCACGTCCACGTCCACGACCATGTCCACGTCCACGTTTACGTCCATGTCCACGTCCACGTCCATGTCCACGTCCACGTCCACGTCCATGTCCACATCCACGTCCACGTCCACGTCCATGTCCACGTCCACGTCGACGTCCATGTCCACGTCCACGTCCATGTCCACATCCACGTCCATGTCCACGTCCACGTCCACGTCCACGTCCATGTCCACGTCTACGTCCACGTCCACGTCCACGTCCACGTCCACGTCCTTGTCCACGTCGACGTCCACGTCCACGTCCACGTCCACGTCCACGTCCAGTCCACGTTCAAGTCCTCCACGTCTACGTCCACGTCCACGTCTATGTCCACATCCACGTCCACGACCACGTCCACGTCCACGTCCATGTCCACGTCCATGTCCACGTCCACGTCCACGACCACGTCCACGTCCACGTCCACGTCCACGTCCATGTCCACGTCCACGTTTACATCCACGTCCACGTCCATGTTTACATCCATGTCCATGTCCACGTCCACGTCCACGTCCACGTCCATGTCCACGTCCACATCCATGTCCATGTCCACGTCCACGTCCATGTCCACGTCGACGTCCACGTCCACGTCCAGTCCACGTTCAAGTCCTCCACGTCCACGTCCACATCCACGACCATGTCCACGTCCACGTCCACGAAAACGTGCACGTCCACGTCCACGACAACGTCAACGTCCACGTCCACGTCCATGTCCACGTCCACGTCCACGTCCACCTCCACGTCCACGTCCATGTCGACGTCCACGTCCATGCCACGTCCATGTCCACGTCCACGTCCACGTCCATGTCCATGTCCACGTCCATATCCATGTCCACGTCCACGTCCATATCCATGTCCACGTCCACGTCCACGTCCACGTCCACGTCCATGTCCACGTCCACGTCCACGTCCAAGTCCACGTCTTGGTCCACGTCCACGTCTACGTCCACGTCGACGACCACGTCCATGTCCACGTCCACGTCCACGTCCAAGTCCTCCACGTCCACGACCACGTCCATGTCTACGTACACGTCCACGTCCTCCACGTCCATGTTCACGTCCATGTCCACCTCCATGTCCACGTCCACGTCCACGTCCACGACCACGTCCACGTCCACGTCCCTGTCCACGTCCACGTCCATGTCCACGTCCACGTCCATGTCGACGTCCACGTCCACGTCCACGTCCCTGTCCACGTCCACGTCCACGTCCATGTCCACGTCCACGTCCACGTCCAGGTCCACGTCCACGTCCACGACCAAATCCACGTCCACGTCCACGTCCACGTCCATGTCCACGTCCACGTCCACGTCCACGTCCAGGTCCACGTCCACGACCATGTCCACGTCCACGTCCACGTCCACGTCCACGTCTACGTCCATGTCCACGTCCACGACCACGTCCACGTCCACATCCATGTCCACGTCGACGTCCACGTCCACGACCACGTCCACGTCCACGTCCACGTCCACGTCCACGTCGACGTCGACGTCCACGTCCACGTCCACGTCCACGACCACGTCCACGTCCACGTCCATGTCCGCGTCCACGTCCACGTCCACGTCCACGTCCATGTCCACGTCCATGTCCATGTCCACGTCCACGTCCACGTCCAGGTCCACGTCCACGACCACGTCCACGTCCACGTCCACGTCCACGTCCACTTCCACGTCCACGTCCACGTCCACGTCCAGGTCCACATCCATGTCCATGTCCACGTCCACGTCTACATCCACGTCCACGTCCACGTCCATGTCCACATCAACGTCCACGTCCACGACCACATCTACGTCCACGTCCACGTCCATGTCCACGTCCACGTCCATGTCCATGTCCATGTCCGCGTCCGCGTCCATGTCCGCGTCCATGTCCACGTCCACGTCCAATTCCATGTCCAGGTCCATGTCCGCGTCCACGTCCACGTCCACCTCCATGTCCACGTCCACGTCCATGTCCACGTAAACGTCCACGTCCATGTCCACGTCCATGTCCACGTCCACGTCCATGTCCATGTCCACGTCCATGTCCACGTCTACGTCCACGTCTATGTCCACGTCCACGTCCACGTCGACGTCAACGTCCACGTCCACGTCCACGTCCACGTCCACGTCCATGTCCACATCCACGTCCATGTCCACGTCCACGTCCATGTCCACGTCCACGTCCATGACCATGTCCCCGTCCACGTCGACGTCCACGTCGACGTCCACGTCCACGACCACATCCACGTCCACGTCCAAGTCCACGTCGATGTCCACGTCCACGTCCACGACCACGTCCACGTCCATGTCCACATCCACGTCCATGTCCACGTCCACGTCCACGTCCAAGTCCACGTCTACGTCCATGTCCACGTCGACGTCCACGTCCACGTCCACGTCCACGTCCAGTGTCCATGTCCACGTCCACGTCCACGTCCACGTCCACGTCCACGACCACGTCCACGTCCACGTCTACGTCCACGTCCACGTCCACGTCCACGTCCATGTCCACGTCCACATCCATGTCCACGTTCACGTTCACGTTCACGTCCACGTCCACGTCCATGTCGACGTCCACGTCCACGTCCACGTCCACGTCCATGTCCACGTCCACGTCCTCGTCCACGACCACGTCCACGTCCACGTCTACGTCCATGTCCACGTTCATGTCCACGTCCACGTCCACGTCCACGTCCAGGTCCATGTCCACGTCCATGTCCACCTCCACATCCACGTCCAGGTCCACGTCCACGTCCACGTCCACGTCGACATCCACGTCCACGTCCACGTCCACGTCCATGTCCGCGTCCATGTCCACTTCGACGTCCACGTCCATGTCCACGTCCACGTCTACGTCCACGTCCACGTCCACGTCCACGTCCATGTCCACGTCCACGTCCACGTCCATGTCCACGTCCACGTCCACGTCCATGTCCACGTCCACGTCCACGTCCATGTCCACGTCCATGTCCACGTCCACGACCACATCCACGTCCACGTCCACGTCCACGTCCATGTCCACGTTCATGTCCACCTCCACGTCCACATCCACGTCCACGTCCATGTCCATGTCCACGTCCATGTCCACGTCCACGTCCATGTCCACGTCCACGTCCACGTCCACGTCCACATCCACGTCCACGTCCACGTCCTTGTCCACGTCCACGTCGTCGTCCACGTCCATGTCCATGTCCACGTCTCCGTCCACGTCCACGTCCACGTCCACGTCCACGTCCAGGTCCACGTCCACGTCCACGTCCATGTCCACGTCCATGTCCACGTCCACGTCCACGTCCATGTCGACGTCCACGTCGACATCCACGTCCACGTCCACGTCCACGTCCATGTCCACGTCCACGAGCACGTCCACTTCCACGTCCACGTCCATGTCCACGTCCACGTCCACGTCCACGTCCATATCCACGTCCATGTCCACGTCCACGTCCACGTCCACGTCCATGTCCACGTCCATGTCCACCTCCACGTCCACGACCATGTCCACGTCCACGTCCATGTCCACGTCCACGTCCACGTCCACGTCCATGTCCACGTCCATGTCCACGTCCACGTCCAGGTCCACGTCCACGACCATGTCCACGTCCACGTCCACGTCCACGTCCATGTCCACGTCCACGTCCATTTCCACGTCCACGTCCACGTCCACGTCCATGTCCACGTCCACGTCCACGTCCACGTCCATGTCCATGTCCACGTCCACGTCCACGTCCATGTCCACGTCCATGTCCACGTCCACGTCCACGTCCACGTCCATGTCCATGTCCACGTCCATGTCCACGTCCACGTCCATGTCCATTTCCACGTCCACGTCCACGTCCACGTCGACGTCCACGTTCACGTCCATGTCCACGTCCACGTCCACGTCCACTTCCATGTCCACGTCCATGTCCACGTCCACGTCCACGTCCACGTCCATGTCCACGTCCACGTCCACGTCCACGTCCACGTCCATGTCCACGTCCACGTCCACGTCCACGGCAACGTCCATGTCCACGTCCACGTCCACGTCCATGTCCACGTCCACATCCACGTCTACGTCCACGCCCATGTCCACGTCCACGTCCACGTCCACGTCCAGGTCCACGTCCACGTCCACGTCCACGACCACATCCACGTCCACGTCCACGTCCATGTCCATGTCCACGTGCATGTCCACGTCCACGTCCACGTCCATGTCCACGTCCACGTCCACGTCGACGTCGACGTCCACGTCCACGTCCACGACCACGTCCACGTCGACGTCCACGTCCACGTCCACGTCCATGTCCGCGACCACGACCACGACCACGTCCACTTCTACGTCTACGTCCACGACCATGTCCACGTCCACGTCCACGTCCACGTCCACGTCCATGTGCACGTCCACGTCCACGTCCACGTCCACGTCCACGACCATGTCCACGTCCATGTCCACGTCCACGTCCTGGTCCACGTCCACGACCATGTCCACGTCCACGTCCACGTCCACGTCCATGTCCACGTCCACGTCCATGTCCACGTCCATGTCCACGTCCACCTCCACGTCCACGTCCACGTCCACGTCGACGTCGACGTCCACGTCCACGTCCACGTCCACGTCCACGTCCATGTCCACGTCCACGTCCACGTCCACGACCACGTCCACGTCCGCGTCCACGTCCACGTCCATGTCCACGTCCACGTCCACGTCCACGTCCACGTCCATGTCCATGTCCACGTCCATGTCCACGTCCACGTCCACGTCCATGTCCACGTCCGACCACGTCCACGTCCGCGTCCACGTCCACGTCCGCGTCCACGTCCACGTCCACGTCCATGTCCATGTCCACGTCCATGTCCACGTCCACGTCCACGTCCATGTCCACGTCCACGTTCACGTCCATATCCACGTCCACGTCCACGTCCATGTCCACGTCCACGTCCACGTCCACTTCCATGTCCACGTCCATGTCCACGTCCACGTCCACGTCCACGTCCACGCCCACGTCCAAGTCCATGTCCACGTCCACGTCCACGTCCACGTCCACGTCCACGTCCATGTCCACGTCCACGTCCACGTCCACGTCCACGTCCACGTCCACGTCCATGTCCATGTCCACGTCCATGTCCACGTCCACGTCCACGTCCACGTCCATGTCCACGTCCACGTCTATGTCCACGTCCACGTCCACGTCCACGTCCCTGTCCACGTCCACGTCCATGTCCACGTCCACGTCCATGTCCACGTCCACGTCCACCTCCACGTCCACATGCACGACCATGTCCTCGTCCATGTCCACGTCCATGTCCACGTCCACGTCCACGTCCACATCCATGTCCACGTCCATGTCCATGTAAACGTCCATGTCTACGTCCACGTCCACGTCCACGTCCATGTCCACGTCCACGTCCACGTCCATGTCGACGTCCACGTCCACGTCCACGTCCCTGTCCACGTCCACGTCCATGTCCACGTCCACGTCCATGTCCATGTCCACGTCCACCTCCACGTCCACATGCACGACCATGTCCACATCCATGTCCACGTCCACTTCCACGTCCATGTCCACACCAACGTCCACGTCCACGTCCACGTCCACGTCCACGACCACGTCCACGTCCACGTCCACGTCCACTTCCCATCCACGTCGACGTCCACGACCACGTCCACGTCCATGTCCACGTCCACGTCTACGTCCACGTCCACGTCCACGTTCACGTCCACGTCTATGTCCACGTCCACGTCTATGTCCACGTCCACGTCCATGTCCACCTCCACGTCCACGTCCACGACCACGTCCACGTCCACGTCAACGTCCATGTCCATGTCCATGTCCATGTCCACGTCCATGTCCACGTCCACATCCACGTCCACTTCCATGTCCACGTCCATGTCCATGTCCACGTCCACGTCCACGTCCACGTCCACGTCTACGTCCACGTCCACGTCCACGTCCACGACCACGTCCACGTCGACGTCCACGTCCACGTCCACGTCCATGTCCACGACCACGACCACGACCACGTCCACCTCCACGTCCACGTCCACGACCATGTCCACGTCCATGTCCACGTCCACGTCCACGTCCACGTCCACGTCCATGTCAACATCCACGTCCATGTCCACGTCCACGTCCACGTCCACGACCATGTCCACGTCCATGTCCACTTCCACGTCCAGGTCCACGTCCACGACCAGGTCCACGTCCATGTCCACGTCCACGTCCACGTCCACGTCCACGTCCACGTCCATGTCCACGTCCACGTCCATGTCCACGTCCACGTCCACGTCCACATCCACGTCCACGTCCATGTCCACGTCGACGTCCACGTCCACGTCCACGTCCATGTCTACGTCCACGTCCACGTCCATGTCCACGTCCACGTCCACGTCCACGTCCACGTCCATGTCTACGTCCACGTCGACGTCCACGACCAATCCACGTCCACGTCCACGTCCATGTCCACGTCCATGTCCACGTCCACGTCCATGTCCACGTCCACGTCCATGTCCATGTCCACGTCCATGTCCACGTCCACGTTCACGTCCATGTCCACGTCCACGACCACGTCCACCTCCACGTCTACGTCCACGTCCACGTCCACGTCCACTTCCATGTCCATGTCCATGTCCACATCCACGTCCATGTCCACGTCCACGTCCATGTCCACGTCCACGTCTATGTCCACGTCCACGTCCACGTCCAAGACCACGTCCACGTCCACGTCCACGTCCATGTCCACGTCCATGTCCACGTCCACGTACACGTCCACGTCCACGTCCATGTCCATGTCCACGTCCATGTCCAGGTCCACGTCCACGTCCATGTCCACGTCCACGTCCACGTCCACGTCCATGTCCACGTCCACGTCCACGTCCACGTCCACGTCCACATCCACGTCCATGTCCACGTCCACGTCCACGTCCACGTCCATGTCCACGTCGACGGCCACGTCCACGTCCACGTCCATGTCCACGTCCACGTCCACGTCCACGACCACGTCCACGTCCACGTCCACGTCCATGTCCATGTCCACGTCCATGTCCACGTCCACGTCCACTTCCATGTCTACGTCCATGTCCACGTCCACGTCCACGTCCACGTCTACGTCCACGTCCACGTCCACGTCCACGACCACGTCGACGTCGATGTCCACGTCCACGTCCACGTCCACGTCCATGTCCGCGACCATGACCACGACCACGTCCACTTCCACGTCCACGTCCACGACCATGTCCACGTCCACGTCCACGTCCACGTCCACGTCCACGACCATGTCCACGTCCATGTCCACGTCCACGTCCACGTCCACGTCCACGTCAACGTCCACGTCCACGTCCCTGTCCACGTCCACGTCCATGTCCACGTCCACGTCCATGTCCACGTCCACGTCCACCTCCACGTCCACGTCTACGACCATGTCTACGTCCACGTCCACGTCCACGTCCACGTCTACGTCCACGTCCACGTCCACGTCCACGACCACGTCCACGTCGACGTCCCGTCCACGTCCACGTCCATGTCCACGACCACGACCACGACCACGTCCACTTCCACGTCCACGTCCACGACCATGTCCATGTCCACGTCCACGTCCACGTCCATGTCCACGTCCACGTCCACGTCCACGTCCACGTCCACGTCCACGACCATGTCCACGTCCATGTCCACGTCCACGTCCAGGTCCACGTCCACGACCATGTCCACGTCCACGTCCACGTCCATGTCCACGTCCACGTCCATTTCCACGTCCACGTCCACGTCCACGTCCATGTCCACGTCGACGTCCACGTCCACGTCCACGTCCATGTCCACGTCCGCGTCCACGTCCACGACCACGTCGACGTCCACGTCGACGTCCACGTCCATGTCCACGTCCATGTCCACGTCCACGTCCACGTCCACGTCCACGTCCATGTCCATGTCTACGTCCATGTCCACGTCCACGTCTACGTCCATGTGGACGTCCACGTCCACGTCGACGTCCACGTCCACGTCCATGTCCACGTCCACGTCCACGTCCACTTCCATGTCCACGTCCATGTCCACGTCCACGTCCACATCCACGTCCACGTCCATGTCCACGTCCACGTCCACGTCCACGTCTACGTCCATGTCCACGTCCACGTCCACGTCCACGACCACGTCCACGTCCACGTCCATGTCAATGTCCACGTCCATGTCCATGTCCACGTCCATGTCCACGTCCACGTCCACGTCCACTTCCATGTCCACGTCCATGTCCACGTCCACGTCCACGTCGACGTCGACGTCGACGTCCACGTCCACGTCCACGACCACGTCCACGTCGACGTCCACGTCCACGTCCACGTCCACGTTCATGTCTACGACCACGACCACGTCCACTTCCACGTCCACGTCCACGACCATGTCCACGTCCACGTCCACGACCATGTCCACGTCCACGTCCACGTCCACGTCCATGTGCACATCCACGACCACGTCCACGTCCACGTCCACGTCCACAACCATGTCCACGTCCATGTCCACGTCCACGTCTAGGTCCACGTCCACGACCATGTCCACGTCCATGTCCATGTCCACGTCCACGTCCATGTCCACGTCCACGTCCATGTCCACGTCCACGTCCACGTCCACATCCATGTCCACGTCCACGTCCACGTCCACGTCGACGTCCACGTCCACGTCCACGTCGGCGTCCACGTCCATGTCCACGTCCACGTCCATGACCACGTCCACGTCCACGTCCACGACCACGTCCACGTCTACGTCCACGTCCACTTCCACGTCCACGTCGATGTCCAGGACCACGTCCACGTCCATGTCCACATCCACGTCTACGTCCACATCCACGTCCACGTTCACGTCCACGTCTATGTCCACGTCCACGTCTATGTCCACGTCCACGTCCATGTCCACGTCCACGTCCACGTCCACTTCCATGTCCACGTCCATGTCCACGTCCACGTCCACGTCGACGTCGACGTCGACGTCCACGTCCACGTCTACGACCACGTCCACGTCGACGTCCACGTCCACGTCCACGTCCACCTCCACGTTCATGTCCACGACCACGACCATGACCACGTCCACTTCCACGTCCACGTCCACGACCATGTCCACGTCCACGTCCACGACCATGTCCACGTCCACGTCCACGTCCACGTCCATGTGCACATCCACGACCACGTCCACGTCCACGTCCACGTCCACGACCATGTCCACGTCCATGTCCACGTCCACGTCTAGGTCCACGTCCACAACCATGTCCACGTCCATGTCCACGTCCACGTCCATGTCCACGTCCACGTCCATGTCCACGTCCACGTCCACGTCCACATCCATATCCACGTCCACGTCGACGTCCACGTCGACGTCCACGTCCACGTCCACGTCGGCGTCCACGTCCATGTCCACGTCCACATCCACGTCCATGACCACGTCCACGTCCACGTCCACAACCACGTCCACGTCTACGTCCACGTCCACTTCCACGTCCACGTCGATGTCCACGACCACGTCCACGTCCATGTCCACATCCACGTCTACGTCCACATCCACGTCCACGTTCACGTCCACGTCTATGTCCACGTCCACGTCTATGTCCACGTCCACGTCCATGTCCACGTCCACGTCCACGACCACGTCCACGTCCACGTCCATGTCCACGTCCACGTCCACGTCTACGTCCACGTCCATGTCCACATCCACGTCCACGTCCACTTCCACATCCACGTCCACAACCATGTCCACGTCAATGTCCACGTCTACGTCCACGTCTACGTCCACGTCCATGTCCACCTCCACGTCCACGTCCACGTCCACGTCCACGTCCACGAGCATGTCCACGTCCATGTCCACGTCCACGTCCAGGTCCACGTCCACGACCATGTCCACGTCCACGTCCGCGTCCACGTCCAGGTCCACGTCCACGTCCATGTCCACGTCCACGTCCACGTCCACGTCCACGTCCATGTCCACGTCGACGTCCACGTCCACGTCCACGTCTACGTCCATGTCCATGTCCACGTCCACGTCCACGTCCACGACCACGTCCACGTCCACGTCCATGTCCACGTCCATGTCCACGTCCACGTCCACGTCCACGTCCACGTCCATGTCCACGTCCACGTCTACGTCCACGTCCACGTCCACGTCCACGTCTACGTCCACGTCCACGTCCACGACCACATCCACGTCCACGTTCACGACCATGTCCACGTCCACGTCCACGTCCACGTCCACAACCACGTCCACGTCCACGTCCATGTCCACGTCCATGTCCATGTCCACGTCCATGTCCACGTCCACGTCCATGTCCGTCCACGTCCACGTCCATGTCCACGTCCACGTCCATGTCGACGTCCACGTCCACGTCCCTTTCCACGTCCACGTCCATGTCCACGTCCACGTCCATGTTCACGTCCACGTCCACCTCCACGTCCACATCCACGACCATGTCCACGTCCACGTCCATGTCCACGTCCACGTCTAGGTCCACGTCCACGTCCACGTCCACGTCCACAACCACGTCCACGTCCACGTCCACGTCCACGTCCATGTCCACGTCCACGTCTACGTCCACGTCCACGTCCACGTCTATGTCCACGTCCACGTCCACGTCCACGTCCACGACCACGACCACGTCCATGTCCACGTCCACGTCGACGTCTACGTTCACGTCCTTTTTATGTCCACGTCCACGTCCACGTCCACGTCCATGTCCACGTCCACGTCCACGTCCACGACCACGTCCACGTCCACGTCCACGTCCACGACAACGTCCACGTCCACGTCCACGTCCACGTCCATGTCCACGTCCACGTCCACGTCCACGTCCACGACCACGTCCACGTCCACGTCCACGACCATGTCCACGTCCACGTCCACGTCCACATCCACGTCCACGTCTACGTCCACGTCCACGTCCACGTCCACGTCCATTTCCACGTCCACGTCCACGTCCACGTCCATGTCCACGTCCACGTCCACGTCCATGTCCACGTCCACGTCCACGTCCATGTCCAAGTCCACGTCCACGTCCACGACCACGTCCACGTCCACGTCCACGACCACGTCCACGTCCACGTCAACGTCCACGTCCACGACCACGTCCACGTCTACGTCCACGACCACGTCCATGTCCACGTCCACGTCCACGTCCACGTCCACGTCCACGTCCACGTCCACGTCCACATCCACGACCACGTCCATGTCCACGTCCACGTCCACGTCCACGTCCATGTCCACGTCCACGTCCACGTCCACGTCCACGTCCACGTCCACGTCCACGTCCATGTCCACGTCCACGTCCACGTCCACGTCCACGTCCACGTCCACGACCACGTCCACGTCCACGTGCACGTCCACGTGCACGATCACGTCCACGTCCACGTCCACGTCCATGTCCACATCCACGACCACGTCCATGTCCACGTCCACGTCCACGTCCACGTGCACGTCCACGTGCACGACCACGTCCACGTCCACGTCCACGTCCACATCCACGACCACGTCCATGTCCATGTCCACGTCCACGTCCACGTCCACGTCCACGTGCACGACCACGTCCACGTCCACGTCCACGTCCACGTCCACATCCACGACCACGTCCATGTCCACGTCCACGTCCACGTGCACGACCACGTCCACGTCCACGTCCACGTCCACGTCCATGTCCACGTCCACGTCCACGTCCACGACCACGTCCACGTCCACGTCCATGTCCATGTCCATGTCCACGTCCACGTCCAGGTCCATGTCCATGTCCACGTCCACGTCCACGTCGACGTCCACGTCCACGTCCACGTCCACGTCCATGTTCACGTCCACGTCCACGTCCACGTCCACTTCTATGTCCACGTCCACGTCCACGTCCACTTCCATGTCCACGTCCACGTCCACGTCCACGTCCACCTACACGTCCACGTCCACGTCCACGTCCACGACCACGTACATGTCCACGTCCACGTCCACGTCCACGACCACGTCCACGTCCATGTCCACGTCCACGTCCACGACCACGTCCACGTCCACGTCGACGTCCACGTCCACGTCCACGTCCATGTCCACGTCCACGTCCACGTCCACGTCCATGTCCACATCCACGTCCACGTCCACGTCCACGTCCACGTCCATGTCCACGTCCACGTCCATGTCCACGTCCACGTCCACCTCCACGTCCACGTCCACGTCCACGACCATGTCCACGTCCACGTCCACGTCCACGTCCACCTCCACGTCCACGACCACGTCCACGTCCACGTCCACGTCCACGACCACGTCCACGTCCACCTCCACGTCCACGTCCACGTCCACGTCCATGTCCACGTCCACGTCCAAGTCCACGACCACGTCCACGTCCATGTCCACGTCCAAGTCCACGTCCACGTCCACGTCCACGTCCACGTCAAAGACCACGTCCACGTCCATGTCCACGTCCACGTCCATGTCCACGTCCACGTCCACGTCCATGTGACGTCGACGTCCACGTCCACGTCCACGTCCATGTCCATGTCCACGTCCACGTCCACGACCACTTCCTCCACGTCGACGTCCATGACCACGTCCACGTCCACGTCCACGTCCACGTCCAAGAAAATGTCCACGTCCACGACAATGTCCACGTCCACGTCCACGTCCATGTCCACGTCTATGTCCACGTCCACGTCCATGTCCAGGTCCACGTCCATGTCCACGTCCACATCCACGTCCACGTCCAGGTCCATGTCCACGTCCACGTCCACGTCCACGTGCATGTCCACGTCTACGTCCACGTCCACGTCCATGTCCACGTCCACGTCTACGTCCACGACCACGTCCATGTCCACGTCCACGTCCACGTCCACGTCCACGTCCACGACCACGTCCATGTCCACGTCCACGTGCACGACCACGTCCACGTCCACGTCCACGTCCAAGACCACGTCCATGTCCACGTCCACGTCCACGTCCACGTCCACGTCCACTTCTATGTCCACGTCCACGTCCACGTCCACTTCCATGTCCACGTCCACGTCCACGTCCACGTCCACGTACACGTCCACGTCCACGTCCACGACCACGTACATGTCCACGTCCACGTCCACGTCCACGACCACGTCCACGTCCATGTCCACGTCCACGTCCACGACCACGTCCACGTCCACGTCGACATCCACGTCCACGTCCATGTCCACGTCCACGTCCACGTCCACGTCCATGTCCACATCCACGTCCATGTCGACGTCCACGTCCACGTCCACGTCCACGTCCATGTCCACGTCCACGTCCATGTCCACGTCCACGTCCACCTCCACGTCCACGGTCACGTCCACGACCATGTCCACGTCCACGTCCACGTCCACGTCCACCTCCACGTCCACGACCACGTCCACGTCCACGTCCACGACCACGTCCACGTCCACCTCCACGTCCACGTCCACGTCCACGTCCATGTCCACGTCCACGACCACGTCCACGTCCATGTCCACGTCCACGTCCACGTCCACGTCCACGTCCACGTCCACGTCAAAGACCACGTCCACGTCCATGTCCACGTCCACGTCCATGTCCACGTCCACGTCCACGTCCACGTCCATGTGACGTCGACGTCCACGTCCACGTCCACGTCCATGTCCACGTCCACGTCCACGTCCACGACCACTTCGTCCACGTCGACGTCCATGACCACGTCCACGTCCACGTCCACGTCCAAGAAAATGTCCACGTCCACGACAATGTCCACGTCCACGTCCACGTCCATGTCCACGTCTATGTCCACGTCCACGTCCATGTCCAGGTCCACGTCCATGTCCACGTCCACATCCACGTCCAGGTCCATGTCCACGTCCACGTCCACGTCCACGTCCACGTCCACGTGCATGTCCACGTCTACGTCCACGTCCACGTCCATGTCCACGTCCACGTCTACGTCCACGTCCATGTCCACGTCCACGTCCACGTCCATCTCCACGTCCACGTCCACATCCACGTCTATGTCCACGTCCACGTCCACGTCCACGTCCCAGCCACGTCCACTTCCACGTCCACGTCCACGTCCACGTCTACGTCCATGTCCACGTCCACGTCCACATCCATGTCCATGTCCACGTCCACGTACACGTCCACGTCCACGTCCATGTCGACGTCCACGGCCACGGCCACGTCCACGTCCACGTCCATGTCCACGTCCATGTCCACGTCCACGTCCACGTCCACGTCCACGTCCACGATCACGTCCACGTCCACGTCCATGTCGACATCCACGTCCACGTCCCTGTCCACGTCCACGTCCATGTCCACGTCCACGTCCATGTCCACGTCCATGTCCACGTCCATATCCACGTCCACGTCCACGTCCATGTCCACGTCCACGTCCACGTCCACGTCCACGTCCACGTCCACGTTAACGTCCACGTCCATGTCCACGTCCAAGTCCTCCACGTCCACGTCCACGTCCAAATCCACGTTCACGTCCACGTCCACGTCCAAGTCGACGTCCACGTTCACGTCCATGTCCCCACGTCCACGTCCACGTCCATGTCCACGTCCACGTCCACGTCCATGTCCACGTTCACGTCCATGTCCACGTCCACGTCCACGTCCATGTCCACGTCGACGTCCACGACCACGTCCACGTCCACGTCCACGTCCACGTCCACGTCCAAGACAATGTCCACGTCCACGTCCACGTCCATGTCCTCGTCTATGTCCACGTCCACTTCCATGTCCATGTCCACATCCACGTCCATGTCCACGTCTATGTCCACGTCCACGTCCATGTCCAGGTCCACGTCCATGTCCACGTCCACATCCACGTCCACGTCCAGGTCCATGTCCACGTCCACGTCCACGTCCACGTCCACGTCCACGTGCATGTCCACGTCTACGTCCACGTCCACGTCCACGTCCATGTCCACGTCCACGTCTACGTCCACGTCCATGTCCACGTCCACGTCCACGTCCATCTCCACGTCCACGTCCACATCCACGTCTATGTCCACGTCCACGTCCACGTCCCAGCCACGTCCACTTCCACGTCCACGTCCACGTCCATCTCCACGTCCACGTCCACGTCCACGTCCACATCCATGTCCATATCCACGTCCACCTACACGTCCACGTCCAGGTCCATGTCGACGTCCACGGCCACGTCCACGTCCACGTCCACGTCCATGTCCACGTTCACGTCCATGTCCACGTCCACGTCCACGTCCACGTCCACGTTCACGTCCACGTCCACGATCACGTCCACGTCCACGTCCATGTCGACATCCACGTCCACGTCCCTGTCCACGTCCACGTCCATGTCCACGTCCACGTCCATGTCCACGTCCATGTCCGCGTCCATATCCACGTCCACGTCCACGTCCACGTCCATGTCCACGTCCACGTCCACGTCCACGTCCACGTTAACGTCCACGTCCATGTCCACGTCCAAGTCCTCCACGTCCACGTCCACGTCCATGTCCACGTTCACGTCCACGTCCACGTCCAAGTCGACGTCCACGTTCACGTCCATGTCCCCACGTCCACGTCCACGTCCACGTCCATGTCCACGTCCACGTCCACGTCCATGTCCACGTTCACGTCCATGTCCACGTCCACGTCCACGTCCATGTCCACGTCCACGTCCACGTCCACGTCCACGTCCACGTCCATGTCCACGTCCACGTCCATGTCCACGTCCACGTCCACGTCCACGTCCATGTCCACGTCAATCTCCACGTCCACGTCCCCGTCCACGTCCACGTCCACGTCGTCCACGTCTACATCCATGTCAACGTCCACGTTCACGTCCTCGTCCACGTCCACGTCCACGACAATGTCCACGTCCACGTCCTAGTCCACGTCCATGTCGTCCATGTCCAAGTCCACGTCCATGTCCACGTCCATGTCCACGTCCACGTCCAGGTCCACGTCCATGTCCACGTCCACGTCCACGACCACTTCATCCACGTCGACGTCCACGACCACGTCCACGTCCACGTCCACGTCCACGTCCAAGACAATGTCCACATCCACGTCCACGTCCATGTCCATGTCTATGTCCACGTCCACTTCCATGTCCATGTCCACGTCCATGTCCACGTCCACATCCACGTACACGTCCAGGTCCACATCCACGTCCACGTCCACGTCCACGTGCATGTCCACGTCCACGTCCACGTCCACGTCCACGTCCATGTCCACGTCCACGTCCACGTCCATGTCCACGTCTACGTCCACGTCCATGTCCACGTCCATGTCATCGTCCACGTCCACGTCCACGTCCACGTCCATGTCCACGTCCACGTCCATGTCCACGTCCACGTCCACCTCCACGTCCACATCCACGACCATGTCCACGTCCACGTCCACGTCCACGTCCACGACCACGTCCACGTCCACGTCCACGACCACGTCCACGTCCACGTCCACCTCCACCTCCACGTCCACGTCCACGTCCACGTCCACGACCACGTCCACGTCCATGTCCACGTCCACGTCCACGTCCACGTCCACGTCCACGTCCACGTCCAGGTCCACGTCCACGTCCATGTCCACGTCCACGTCCACGTCCATGTGACGTCGACGTCCACGTCCACGTCCACGTCCATGTCCACGTCCACGTCCACGTCCACGACCATTTCGTCCACGTCGACGTCCATGACCACGTCCACGTCCACGACCACGTCCAAGACAATGTCCACGTCCACGACAATGTCCACGTCCACGTCCACGTCCATGTCCACGTCTATGTCCACGTCCATGTCCATGTCCAGGTCCATGTCCATGTCCACGTCCACATCCACGTCCACCTCCACATCCAGGTCCATGTCCACGTCCACGTCTACGTCCACGTCCACGTCCACGTGCATGTCCACGTCTACGTCCATGTCCACGTCCATGTCCACGTCCACGTCCACGTCCATGTCCACGTCCACGTCTACGTCCACGTCCATGTCCACGTCCACGTCCACGTCCATCTCTACGTCCACGTCCACATCCACGTCTATGTCCACGTCCACGTCCACGTCCCAGCCACGTCCACTTCCACGTCCATGTCTACGTCCACGTCCACGTCGACGTCCATGTCCACGTCCACGTCCACGTCCACGTCCACATCCATGTCCATGTCCACGTCCGCGTACACGTCCACGTCCACGTCCATGTCGACGTCCACGGCCACGGCCACGTCCACGTCCACGTCCACGTCCACGTCCATGTCCACGTCCACGTCCATGTCCACGTCCACATCCACGTCCACGTCCACGTCCACGTTCACGTCCACGTCCACGTCCACGTTCACGTCCACGTCCACGTCCATGTCGACATCCACGTCCACGTCCCTGTCCACGTCCACGTCCATGTCCACGTCCACGTCTATGTCCACGTCCATGTCCACGTCCATATCCACGTCCACGTCCACGTCCACGTCCACGTCCATGTCCACGTCCACGTCCACGTCTACGTTAACGTCCACGTCCATGTCCACGTCCAAGTCCTCCACGTCCACGTCCACGTCCATGTCCACGTTCACGTCCACGTCCACGTCCAAGTCGACGTCCACGTTCACGTCCATGTCCCCACATCCACGTCCACGTCCACGTCCATGTCCACGTCCACGTCCACGTCCATGTCAACGTTCACGTCCATGTCCACGTCCACGTCCACGTCCATGTCCACGTCCACGTCCACGTCCACGTCCATGTCCACGTCCACGTCCACGTCCACGTCCATGTCCACGTCAATCTCCACGTCCACGTCCACGTCCACGTCCACGTCCACGTCCAGGTCCACGTCGTCCACGTCCACGTCCACGTCAACGTCCACATTCACGTCCTCGTCCACATCCACGTCCACGACAATGTCCACGTCCACGTCCACGTCCACGTCCATGTCGTCCATGTCCACGTCCACGTCCACGTCCATGTCCACGTCCACGTCCATGTCCACGTCCACGTCCTGGTCCACGTCCATGTCCACGTCCACGTCCACGACCAATTCGTCCACGTCCATGTCCACGTTCACGTCCATGTCCACGTCCACGTCCACGTCCATGTCCACGTCCACGTCCACGTCCATGTCCACGTCCACGTCCACGTCCATGTCCACGTCAATCTCCACGTCCACGTCCACGTCCACGTCCACGTCCAGGTCCACGTCGTCCACGTCCACGTCCACGTCAATGTCCACATTCACGTCCTCGTCCACGTCCACGTCCACGACAATGTCCACGTCCACGTCCACGTCCACGTCCATGTCGTCCATGTCCACGTCCACGTCCACGTCCATGTCCACGTCCACGTCCACGTCCATGTCCACGTCCACGTCCAGGTCCACGTCCATGACCACGTCTACGTCCACTTCCACGTCCAAGACAATGTCTACGTCCACGACAATGTCCACGTCCACGTCCACGTCCATGTCCACGTCTATGTCCACGTCCACTTCCATGTCCAGGTCCACGTCAATGTCCACGTCCACATCCACGTCCACGTCCAGGTCCACGTCCACGTCCACGTCCACATGCATGTCCACGTCCACGTCCACGTCCACGTCCATGTCCACGTCCACGTCCACGCCCACGTCCATGTCCACGTCTACGTCCACGTCCATGTCCACGTCCATGTCCACGTCCACGTCCACGTCCACGTCCACGTCCACGTCCATGTCCACGTCCACGTCCATGTCCAATGTCCACGTCCACCTCCACGTCCACGTCCACGTCCACCTCCACGTCCACATCCACGACCATGTCCACGTCCACGTCCACGTCCACGACCACGTCCACGTCCACGTCCACGACCACGTCCACGTCCACGTCCACCTCCACGTCCACGTCCACGTCCACGTCCAGGTCCACGTCCACGTCCACGTCCACGACCACGTCCACGTCCATGTCCACGTCCACGTCCACGTCTACGTCCACGTCCACGTCCACGTCCACGTCCACGTCCACGTCCATGTCCACGTCCACGTCCACGTCCACGTCCATGTGACGTCGACGTCCACGTCCACGTCCACGTCCACGTCCATGTCCACGTCCACGTCCACGTCCACGACCACTTCGTCCACGTCGACGTCCATGACCACGTCCACGTCCACGTCCACGTCCAAGACAATGTCCACGTCCACGACAATGTCCACGTCCACGTCCACGTCCATGTCCACGTCTATGTCCACGTCCACGTCCATGTCCAGGTCCACGTCCATGTCCACGTCCACGTCCACGTCCACGTCCACGTCCAGGTCCATGTCCACGTCCACGTCTACGTCCACGTGCATGTCCACGTCTACGTCCACGTCCATGTCCACGTCCATGTCCACGTCCACGTCTACGTCCACGTCCATGTCCACGTCCACGTCCACGTCCACGTCCACGTCCCAGCCACGTCCACTTCCACGTCCATGTCCACGTCCACGTCCACGTCTACGTCCATGTCCACGTCCACGTCCACGTCCACGTCCACATCCATGTCCATGTCCACGTCCACGTACACGTCCACGTCCACGTCCATGTTGACGTCCACGGCCACGGCCACGTCCACGTCCACGTCCACGTCTATGTCCACGTCCACGTCCATGTCCACGTCCACGTCCACGTCCACGTCCACGTTCACGTCCACGTCCACGTTCACGTCCACGTCCACGTCCATGTCGACATCCACGTCCACGTCCCTGTCCACGTCCACGTCCATGTCCACGTCCACGTCCATGTCCACGTCCATGTCCACGTCCATATCCACGTCCACGTCCACGTCCACGTCCATGTCCACGTCCACGTCCACGTCCACGTCCATGTCCACGTCCACGTCCATGTCCACGTCCACGTCCTGGTCCACGTCCATGTCCACGTCCACGTCCACGACCAATTCGTCCACGTCCATGTCCACGTTCACGTCCATGTCCACGTCCACGTCCACGTCCATGTCCACGTCCACGTCCACGTCCACGCCCATGTCCACGTCCACGTCCACGTCCATGTCCACGTCAATCTCCACGTCCACGTCCACGTCCACGTCCACGTCCAGGTCCACGTCGTCCACGTCCACGTCCACGTCAATGTCCACATTCACGTCCTCGTCCACGTCCACGTCCACGACAATGTCCACGTCCACGTCCACGTCCACGTCCATGTCGTCCATGTCCACGTCCACGTCCACGTCCATGTCCACGTCCACGTCCACGTCCATGTCCACGTCCACGTCAAGGTCCACGTCCATGACCACGTCCACGTCCACTTCCACGTCCAAGACAATGTCTACGTCCACGACAATGTCCACGTCCACGTCCACGTCCATGTCCACGTCTATGTCCACGTCCACTTCCATGTCCAGGTCCACGTCAATGTCCACGTCCACATCCACGTCCACGTCCAGGTCCACGTCCACGTCCACGTCCACATGCATGTCCACGTCCACGTCCACGTCCACGTCCATGTCCACGTCCACGTCCACGCCCACGTCCATGTCCACGTCTACGTCCACGTCCATGTCCACGTCCATGTCCACGTCCACGTCCACGTCCACGTCCATGTCCACGTCCATGTCCACGTCCATGTCCAATGTCCACGTCCACCTCCACGTCCACGTCCACGTCCACCTCCACGTCCACATCCACGACCATGTCCACGTCGACGTCCATGTCCACGACCACGTCCACGTCCACGTCCACGACCACGTCCACGTCCACGTCCACCTCCACGTCCACGTCCACGTCCACGTCCAGGTCCACGTCCACGTCCACGTCCACGACCACGTCCACGTCCATGTCCACGTCCACGTCTACGTCCACGTCCACGTCCACGTCCACGTCCACGTCCACGTCCATGTCCACGTCCACGTCCACGTCCACGTCCATGTGACGTCGACGTCCACGTCCACGTCCACGTCCACGTCCATGTCCACGTCCACGTCCACGTCCACGACCACTTCGTCCACGTCGACGTCCATGACCACGTCCACGTCCACGTCCACGTCCAAGACAATGTCCACGTCCACGACAATGTCCACGTCCACGTCCACGTCCATGTCCACGTCTATGTCCACGTCCACGTCCATGTCCAGGTCCACGTCCATGTCCACGTCCACGTCCACGTCCACGTCCACGTCCAGGTCCATGTCCACGTCCACGTCTACGTCCACGTCCACGTGCATGTCCACGTCTACGTCCACGTCCATGTCCACGTCCATGTCCACGTCCACGTCTACGTCCACGTCCATGTCCACGTCCACGTCCACGTCCATCTCCACGTCCACGTCCACATCCACGTCTATGTCCACGTCCACGTCCACGTCCACGTCCCAGCCACGTCCACTTCCACGTCCATGTCCACGTCCACGTCCACGTCTACGTCCATGTCCACGTCCACGTCCACGTCCACGTCCACATCCATGTCCATGTCCACGTCCACGTACACGTCCACGTCCACGTCCATGTCGACGTCCACGGCCACGGCCACGTCCACGTCCACGTCCACGTCTATGTCCACGTCCACGTCCATGTCCACGTCCACGTCCACGTCCACGTCCACGTTCACGTCCACGTCCACGTTCACGTCCACGTCCACGTCCATGTCGACATCCACGTCCACGTCCCTGTCCACGTCCACGTCCATGTCCACGTCCACGTCCATGTCCACGTCCATGTCCACGTCCATATCCACGTCCACGTCCACGTCCACGTCCATGTCCACGTCCACGTCCACGTTCACGTCCACGTCCACGTTCACGTCCACGTCCACGTCCATGTCGACATCCACGTCCACGTCCCTGTCCACGTCCACGTCCATGTCCACGTCCACGTCCATGTCCACGTCCATGTCCACGTCCATATCCACGTCCACGTCCACGTCAACGTCCATGTCCACGTCCACGTCCACGTCCACGTCCACGTCCACGTTAACGTCCACGTCCATGTCCACGTCCAAGTCCTCCACGTCCACGTCCACGTCCATGTCCACGTTCACGTCCACGTCCACGTCCAAGTCGACGTCCACGTTCACGTCCATGTCCCCACGTCCACGTCCACGTCCACGTCCATGTCCACGTCCACGTCCACGTCCATGTCCACGTTCACGTCCATGTCCACGTCCACGTCCACGTCCATGTCCACGTCCACGTCCACGTCCATGTCCACGTTCACGTCCATGTCCACGTCCACGTCCATGTCCACGTCCACGTCCATGTCCACTCCATGTCCACGTCCACGTCCATGTCCACGTCAATCTCCACGTCCACGTCCACGTCCACGTCCACGTCCAGGTCCACGTCGTCCACGTCCACGTCCACGTCAACGTCCACGTTCACGTCCTCGTCCACGTCCACGTCCACGACAATGTCCACGTCCACGTCCACGTCCACGTCCATGTCGTCCATGTCCACGTCCACGTCCACGTCCATGTCCACGTCCACGTCCATATCCACGTCCACGTCCAGGTCCACGTCCATGTCCACGTCCACGTCCACGACCACTTCGTCCACGTCGACGTCCACGACCACGTCCACGTCCACGTCTACGTCCACGTCCACGTCCACGTCCAAGACAATGTCTACGTCCACGACAATGTCCACGTCCACGTGCACGTCCATGTTTACGTCTATGTCTACGTCCACTTCCATGTCCAGGTCCACGTCTATGTCCACGTCCACTTCCACGTCCACGTCCATATCCACGTCCACATCCACGTCCACGTCCAGGTCCACGTCCACGTCCACGTCCGCGTGCATGTCCACGTCCACGTCCACGTCCACGTCCACGTGCATGTCCACGTCCACGTCCACGTCCACGTCCATGTCCACGTCCACGTCCACGTCCACGTCCACGTCCATGTCCACGTCCACGTCCATGTCCACGTCCACGTCCACGTCCACGTCCATGTTCACGTCCACGTCCACCTCCGTCCACGTCCACGACCACGTCCACGTCCACGTCCACGACCACGTCCACGTCCACGTCCACGACCACGTCCACGTCCACGTCCACGTCCACGTCCACCTCCACGTCCACGTCCACCTCCACGTCCACCTCCACGTCCACGTCCACGTCCACGTCCACGTCCACGTCCATGTCCACGTCCACGTCCACGACCACGTCCACGTCCACGTCCACGTCCACGTCCACGTCCACGTCCACGACCACGTCCACGTCCACGTCCACGTCCACGTCTACGTCCATGTCCACAACCACGACCACGTCCACGTCCATGTCCACGTCCACGTCCACGTCCACGTCCATGTCCACGTCCATGTCCACGTCCAGGTCCATGTCCACGTCCACGTCCACGTCCACGTCGACGTCCACGTCCAGGTCCACGTCGTCCACGTCCACGTCCACATCCACGTTCACGTCCACGTCCACGTCCACGTCCACGACAATGTCCACGTCCATGTCCACGTCCATGTCGTCCACGTCCACGTCCACGTCCAAGTCCATGTTTACGTCGATGTCCACGTCCACGTCCACGTCTATGTCCACGTCCACATCCACCTCCATGTCGACGTCCACGTCCACGTCCATGTCCACGTCCACGTCCACGACCACTTCGTCCACGTCGACGTCCACGACCACGTCCACGTCCACGTCCACGTCCACGTCCAAGACAATGTCCACGTCCACGACAATGTCCACGTCCACGTCCACGTCCATGTCCACGTCTATGTCCACGTCCACGTCCATCTCCAGGTCCACGTCCATGTCCACGTCCACATCCACGTCCACGTCCAGGTCCACGTCCACGTCCACGTCCACGTCCACGTCCACGTGCATGTCCACGTCCACGTCCACGTCCACGTCCACGTCCATGTCCACGTCCACGTCCACGGCCACGTCCATGGCCACGTCCACGTCCACGTCCATGTCCACGTCCACGTCCACGTTCACATCCACGTCTATGTCCACGTCCACGTCCACGTCCACGTCCCAGCCACGTCCACTTCCACGTCCACGTCCACGTCCACGTCGACGTCTACGTCGTCCATGTCCACGTCCACGTCCACATCCACGTCCACGTCCACGTCCATGTCCACGTCCACGTACACGTCCACGTCCACGTCCAGGTCGACGTCCACATCCACGGCCACGTCCACGTCCACGTCCATGTCCATGTCCACGTCCATGTCCACGTCCACGTCCACGTCCACGTTCACGTCCACGTCCACGTCCATGTCGACATCCACGTCCACGGCCCTGTCCACGTCCACGTCCATGTCCACGTCCACGTCCATGTCCATGTCCATGTCCACGTCCATATCCACGTCCACGTCCATGTCCATGTCCACGTCCACGTCCACGTCCACGTCCATGTCCACGTCCAAGTCCTCCACGTCCACGTCCATGTCCACGTTCACGTCCACGTCCACGTCCAAGTCGACGTCCACGTTCACGTCCATGTCCCCACGTCCACGTCCACGTCCATGTCCACGTCCACGTCCACGTCCATGTCCACGTTCACGTCCATGTCCACGTCCACGTCCACGTCCATGTCCACATCAACGTCCACGTCCACGTCCACGTCCATGTCCATGTCCACGTCCACGTTCATGTCCACGTCCACGTCCACGTCCATGTCCACGTTTACGTCCATGTCCACGTCCACGTCCACGTCCATGTCCACATCCACATCCACGTCCACGTCCACGTCCATGTCCACGTCCACGTCCATGTCCACGTCCACGTCCACGTCCACGTCCACGTCCATGTCCACGTCAATCTCCACGTCCACGTCCACGTCCACGTCCACGTCCAGGTCCACGTCGTCCACGTCCACGTCCACGTCCACGTCCAGGTCCATGTCCACGTCCACGTCCACGTCCACGTGCATGTCCACGTCTACGTCCACGTCCACGTCCATGTCCACGTCCACGTCTACGTCCACGTCCATGTCCACGTCCACGTCCACGTCGATCTCCACGTCCAAGTCCACATCCACGTCTATGTCCACGTCCACGTCCACGTCCACGTCCACGTCCACGTCCCAGCCACGTCCACTTCCACGTCCATGTCCACGTCCACGTCCACGTCTACGTCCATGTCCACGTCCACGTCCACGTCCACGTCCACATCCATGTCTAGGTCCACGTCCACGTACACGTCAACGTCCACGTCCACGTTCACGTCCACGTCCACGTCCATGTCCACGTTCACGTCCACGTCCACGTCCATGTCGACATCCACGTCCACGTCCCTGTCCACGTCCACGTCCATGTCCACGTCCACGTCCATGTCCACGTCCATGTCCATGTCCATATCCACGTCCACGTCCACGTCCACGTCCATGTCCACGTCCACGTCCACGTCGACGTCCACGTTAACGTCTACGTCCATGTCCACGTCCAAGTCCTCCACGTCCACGTCCACGTCCATGTCCACGTTCACGTCCACGTCCACGTCCAAGTCGACGTCCACGTTCACGTCCATGTCCCCACGTCCACGTCCACGTCCACGTCCATGTCCACGTCCACGTCCACGTCCATGTCCACGTTCACGTCCATGTCCACGTCCACGTCCATGTCCACGTCCACGTCCATGTCCACGTCCACGTCCATGTCCACGTCCACGTCCATGTCCACTCCACGTCCACGTCCACGTCCATGTCCACGTCAATCTCCACGTCCACGTCCACGTCCAGGTCCACGTCGTCCACGTCCACGTCCACGTCAACGTCCACGTTCACGTCCTCGTCCACGTCCACGTCCACGACAATGTCCACGTCCACGTCCACGTCCACGTCCATGTCGTCCATGTCCACGTCCACGTCCACGTCCATGTCCACGTCCACGTCCACGTCCATGTCCACGTCCACGTCCAGGTCCACGTCCATGTCCACGTCCACGTCCACGACCACTTGTCCACGTCGACGTCCACGACCACGTCCACGTCCACGTCCACGTCCACGTCCAAGACAATGTCTACGTCCACGACAATGTCCACGTCCACGTCCACGTCCATGTTTACGTCTATGTCTACGTCCACTTCCATGTCCAGGTCCACGTCTATGTCCACGTCCACTTCCACGTCCACGTCCATGTCCACGTCCACATTCACGTCCACGTCCAGGTCCACGTCCACGTCCACGTGCATGTCCACGTCCACGTCCACGTCCACGTCCACGTGCATGTCCACGTCCACGTCCACGTCCACGTCCATGTCCACGTCCACGTCCACGTCCACGTCCACGTCTACGTCCACGTCCATGTCCACGTCCATGTCCACGTCCACGTCCATGTCCACGTCCACGTCCACGTCCACGTCCACGTCCACTGTCCACGTCCACGTCCATGTCCACGTCCACGTCCACGTCCGTCCACCTCCGTCCACGTCCACGTCCACGACCACGTCCACGTCCACGTCCACGACCACGTCCACGTCCACGTCCACGTCCACGTCCACCTCCACGTCTACGTCCACGTCCACCTCCACGTCCACCTCCACGTCCACGTCCACGTCCACGTCCACGTCCATGTCCACGTCCACGTCCACGACCACGTCCACGTCCACGTCCACGTCCACGTCCACGTCCACGACCACGTCCACGTCCACGTCCACGTCTACGTCCATGTCCACAACCACGACCACGTCCACGTCCATGTCCACGTCCACGTCCACGTCCACGTCCATGTCCACGTCCATGTCCACGTCCAGGTCCATGTCCACGTCCACGTCCACGTCCACGTCCACGTCCAGGTCCACGTCGTCCACGTCCACGTCCACGTTCACGTCCACGTCCACGTCCACGACAATGTCCACGTCCACGTCCACGTCCATGTCGTCCACGTCCACGTCCACGTCCAAGTCCATGTTTACGTCCATGTCCACGTCCACGTCCACGTCTATGTCCACGTCCACATCCACCTCCATGTCCATGTCGACGTCCACGTCCATGTCCACGTCCACGTCCACGACCACTTCGTCCACGTCGACGTCCACGACCACGTCCACGTCCACGTCCACGTCCACGTCCACGTCCACGTCCAAGACAATGTCCACGTCCACGTCCTCGTCCACGTCCACGTCCACGACAATGTCCACGTCCACGTCCACGTCCACGTCCATGTCGTCCATGTCCACGTCCACGTCCACGTCCATGTCCACGTCCACGTCCACGTCCATGTCCACGTCCACGTCCAGGTCCACGTCCATGTCCACGTCCACGTCCACGACCACTTGTCCACGTCGACGTCCACGACCACGTCCACGTCCACGTCCACGTCCACGTCCAAGACAATGTCTACGTCCACGACAATGTCCACGTCCACGTCCACGTCCATGTTTACGTCTATGTCTACGTCCACTTCCATGTCCAGGTCCACGTCTATGTCCACGTCCACTTCCACGTCCACGTCCATGTCCACGTCCACATTCACGTCCACGTCCAGGTCCACGTCCACGTCCACGTGCATGTCCACGTCCACGTCCACGTCCACGTCCACGTGCATGTCCACGTCCACGTCCACGTCCACGTCCATGTCCACGTCCACGTCCACGTCCACGTCCACGTCTACGTCCACGTCCATGTCCACGTCCATGTCCACGTCCACGTCCATGTCCACGTCCACGTCCACGTCCACGTCCACGTCCATGTCCACGTCCACGTCCATGTCCACGTCCACGTCCACCTCCGTCCACGTCCACGTCCACGACCACGTCCACGTCCACGTCCACGACCACGTCCACGTCCACGTCCACGTCCACGTCCACCTCCACGTCTACGTCCACGTCCACCTCCACGTCCACCTCCACGTCCACGTCCACGTCCACGTCCACGTCCATGTCCACGTCCACGTCCACGACCACGTCCACGTCCACGTCCACGTCCACGTCCACGTCCACGACCACGTCCACGTCCACGTCCACGTCTACGTCCATGTCCACAACCACGACCACGTCCACGTCCATGTCCACGTCCACGTCCACGTCCACGTCCATGTCCACGTCCATGTCCACGTCCAGGTCCATGTCCACGTCCACGTCCACGTCCACGTCCACGTCCAGGTCCACGTCGTCCACGTCCACGTCCACGTTCACGTCCACGTCCACGTCCACGACAATGTCCACGTCCACGTCCACGTCCATGTCGTCCACGTCCACGTCCACGTCCAAGTCCATGTTTACGTCCATGTCCACGTCCACGTCCACGTCTATGTCCACGTCCACATCCACCTCCATGTCCATGTCCACGTCCACGTCCATGTCCACGTCCACGTCCACGACCACTTCGTCCACGTCGACGTCCACGACCACGTCCACGTCCACGTCCACGTCCACGTCCACGTCCACGTCCAAGACAATGTCCACGTCCACGACAATGTCCACGTCCACGTCCACGTCCATGTCCACGTCTATGTCCACGTCCACGTCCATCTCCAGGTCCACGTCCATGTCCACGTCCACATCCACGTCCACGTCCAGGTCCACGTCCACGTCCACGTCCACGTCCACGTCCACGTCCACGTGCATGTCCACGTCCACGTCCACGTCCACGTCCATGTCCACGTCCACGTCCACGTCCACGTCCATGGCCACGTCCACGTCCACGTCCATGTCCACGTCCACGTCCACGTTCACAACCACGTCTATGTCCACGTCCACGTCCACGTCCACGTCCCAGCCACGTCCACTTCCGCGTCCACGTCCACGTCCACGTCGACGTCTACGTCCATGTCCACGTCCACGTCCACATCCACGTCCACGTCCACGTCCATGTCCACGTCCACGTACACGTCCACGTCCACGTCCAGGTCGACGTCCACATCCACGGCCACGTCCACGTCCACGTCCATGTCCACGTCCACGTCCATGTCCACGTCCACGTCCACGTTCACGTCCACGTCCACGTCCATGTCGACATCCACGTCTTCGGCCCTGTCCACGTCCACGTCCATGTCCACGTCCACGTCCATGTCCACGTCCACGTCCATGTCTATGTCCATGTCCACGTCCATATCCACGTCCACGTCCACGTCCACGTCCATGTCCACGTCCACGTCCACGTCCACGTCCATGTCCACGTCCAAGTCCTCCACGTCCACGTCCACGTCCATGTCCACGTTCATGCCACGTCCACGTCCAAGTCGACGTCCACGTTCACGTCCATGTCCCCACGTCCACGTCCATGTCCACGTCCACGTCCATGTCCACGTTCACGTCCATGTCCACGTCCACGTCCACGTCCATGTTCACATCCACGTCCACGTCCACATCCACGTCCATGTCCATGTCCACGTCCACGTCCATGTCCACGTCCACGTCCACGTCCACGTCCATGTCCACGTCAATCTCCACGTCCACGTCCACGTCCACGTCCAGGTCCACGTCGTCCACGTCCACGTCCACGTCCACGTCCACGTCCACGTTCACGTCCACGTCCACGTCCACGTCCACGTCCACGACAATGTCCACGTCCACGTCCACGTCCATGTCGTCCATGTCCACGTCCACGTCCACGTCCCCGTCCATGTCCACGTCCATGTCCACGTCCATGTCCACGTCCACGTCCACGTCTATGTCCACGTCCACATCCACCTCCATGTCCACGTCCACGTCCACGTCCATGTCCACATCCACGTCCAGGTCCATGTCCATGTCCACGTCCACGTCCACGACCACTTCGTCCACGTCGACGTCCAAGACAATGTCTACGTCCATGTCCATGTCCACGTCCACGTCCACGTTTACGTCCAAGACAATGTCTACGTCCACGACAATGTCCACGTCCACGTCCACATCCATGTCCACGTCTATGTCCACGTCCACGTCCATGTCCAGGGCCACGTCCATGTCCACGTCCACATCCACGTCCACGTCCAGGTCCACGTCCACGTCCATGTCCACGTCCACGTGCATGTCCACGTCCACGTCCACCTCCACGTCCACGTCCATGTCCATGTCCACGTCGACGTCCACGTCCACGTCCATGTCCACGTCCACATCCACGTCCATGTCCACGTCCATGTCCACGTCCACGTCCACGTCCACGTCCACGTCTATGTCCACGTCCACGTCCACGTCCACGTCCCAGCCACGTCCATGTCCACGTCCACGTCCATGTCCACGTCCACGTCCACGTCCACATCCACGTCTATGTCCACGTCCACGTCCACGTCCACGTCTACGTCCATGTCCACGTCCACGTCCACGTCCACGTCCACGTCCACGTCCATGTCCACGTCCACGTCCACGTCCACGTCCACGTCCATGTCGACGTCCACGTCCACGTCTACGTCCATGTCCACGTCCACGTCCATGTCCACGTCCACGTCCACGTCCACGTCCACGTCCACGTCCACGTACACGTCCACGTCCACGTCCACGTCCACGTTCACGTCCACGTCCACGTCCATGTCGACATCCACGTCCACGTCCCTGTCCACGTCCACGTCCATGTCCACGTCCACGTCCATGTCCACATCCATGTCTACGTCCATATCCACGTCCACGTCCACGTCCATGTCCACGTCCACGTCCACGTCCACGTCCACGTCCATGTCCACGTCCAAGTCCTCCACGTCCACGTCCACGTCCATGTCCACGTTCACGTCCACGTCCACGTCCAAGTCGACGTCCACGTTCACGTCCATGTCCCCACGTCCACGTCCACGTCCACGTCCATGTCCACGTTCACGTCCACGTCCATGTCCACGTCCATGTCCACGTCCACGTCCACGTGTATGTCCACGTCCACATCCACCTCCATGTCCACGTCCATGTCCACGTCCATGTCGACGTCCACGTCCAGGTCCACGTCCATGTCCACGTCCACGTCCACGACCACTTCGTCCACGTTGACGTCCACGACCACGTCCACGTCGACGTCCACGTCCACGTCCACGTCGAAGACAATGTCTACGTCCACGACAATGTCCACGTCCACGTCCACGTCCATGTCCACGTCTATGTCCACGTCCACGTCCATGTCCAGGTCCACGTCCATGTCCACGTCCACATCCACGTCCACGTCCAGGTCCATGTCCACGTCCACGTCCACGTCCACGTGCATGTCCACGTCCACGTCCACGTCCACGTCCACGTCCATGTCCACGTCCACGTCCACGTCCACGTCCATGTCCACGTCCACGTCCACGTCCATGTCCACGTCCATGTCCACGTCCACGTCCACGTACACGTCCACGTCTATGTCCACGTCCACGTCCATGTCCACGTCCCAGCCATGTCCACTTCCACGTCCACGTCCACGTCCACGTCTACGTCCATGTCCACGTCCACGTCCACGTCCACGTCCATGTCCACGTCCACGTCCACGTTCATTTCCATGTCCACGTCCACGTCCACGTCCACATGCACGTCCATGTCCACGTCCACGTCCACGTCCACGTCCATGTCCACGTCCACATCCACGTCCACGTCCACTTCCACGTCCACGTCCACGTCCCAGCCACGGTCACTTCCACGTCCACGTCCACGTCCATGTCTACGTCCATGTCCACGTCCATGTCCACGTCCACGTCCACGTCCATGTCCACGTCCACGTCCACGTCCATGTCGACGTCCACGTCCACGTCCACGTCCCTGTCCACGTCCCATCCATGTCCACGTCCACGTCCATGTCCACGTCCATGTCCACGTCCATATCCACGTCCACGTCCACGTCCATGTCCACGTCCACGTCCACATCCATGTCCACGTCCACGTCCACGTCCACGACCACGTCCACGTCAACGTCCACGTCCACGTCCATGTCTACGTCCATGTCCACGTCGACGTCCACGTCCATGTCCATGTCGACGTCCGCGTCCACGTCCCTGTCCACGTCCACGTCCATGTCCACGTCCACGTCTATGTCCACGTCCATGTCCACGTCCATATCCACGTCCACGTCCACGTCCACGTCCACGTCCATGTCCACGTCCACGTCCACGTCCACGTCCATGTCAACATCCATGTCCACGTCCACGTCCACGTCCATGTCCATTGCACACGCTATGCCCTTGTTCTTGCTATTTTGCACACGCTAGGCCCTTGTTCTTGCTATTTTGCACACGCTAGGCCCTTGTTCTTGCAATTTTGCACATGGTAGGCCCTTGTTCTTGCATTTTTGCACACGCTAGGCCCTTGTTCTTGCAATTTTGCACACGCTAGGCCCTTGTTCTTGCAATTTTGCACACGCTAGGCCCTTGTACTTGCAATTTTGCACACGCTAGACCCTTGTTCTTGCTATGTTGCACACGCTATGCCCTTGTTCTTGCAATCTTGCACACGCTAGGCCCTTGTCCTAGCTATTTTGCATACGCTAGACCCTTGTTCTTGCAATTTTGAACACGCTAGGCCCTTGCTCTTGCAATTTTGCACACGCTAGGATCTTGTTCTTGCTATTTTGCACACGCTAGACCCTTGTTCTTGCAATTTTGCACACGCTAGGTCCTTGTTCTGGCTATTTTGCACACGCTAGGCCCTTGTTCTTGCTATTTTGCACACGCTAGGCCCTTGTTCTTGCAATTTTGCACATGGTAGGCCCTTGTTCTTGCATTTTTGCACATGCTAGGCCCTTGTTCTTGCAATTTTGCACACGCTAGGCCCTTGTTCTTGCAATTTTGCACACGCTAGGCCCTTGTACTTGCAATTTTGCACACGCTAGACCCTTGTTCTTGCTATGTTGCTACCGCTATGCCCTTGTTCTTGCAATTTTGCACACGCTAGGCCCTTGTCCTAGCTATTTTGCATACGCTAGACCCTTGTTCTTGCAATTTTGCACACGCTAGGCCCTTGCTCTTGCAATTTTGCACACGCTAGGATCTTGTTCTTGCTATTTTGCACACGCTAGACCCTTGTTCTTGCAATTTTGCACATGCTATGCCCTTGTTCTTGCTATTTTGCACACGCTAGACCCTTGTTCTGGCAATTTTGCACACGCTATGCCATTGTTCCTTGCAATTTTGCACACGCTAGGCCATTGTTCTTGCTATTTTGCAGACGCTAGACCCTTGTTCTTGCAATTTTGCACATGCTAGGCCCTTGTTCTTGCAATTTTGTACACGCTAGGCCCTTGTTCTTGCTATTTTGCACACGCAAGACACTTATTCTTGCAATTTTGCACACGCTATGCCCTTGTTCTTGCTATTTTGCACACGCTAGACCCTTGTTCTTGCAATTTTGCACACGCTAGGCCCTTGTTCTTGCTATTTTGCACACGCTAGGCCCTTGTTCTTGCAATTTTGCACATGCTCGGCTCTTGTTCTTGCTATTTTGCACACGCTAGGCCCTGTTCATGCAATTTTGCACACTCTAGGCCCTTGTTCTTGCAAGTTTGCACACCCTAGGCCCTTGTTCTTGCTATTTTGCACACGCTAGACCCTTGTTCTTGCAATTTTGCACAAGCTATGCCTTTGTTCTTGCTATTTTGCACACGCTAGACCCTTGTTCTTGCAATGTTGCACACGCTATGCCCTTGTTCTTGCAATTTTGCACACGCTAGGCCCTTGTTCTTGCTATTTTGCACACACTAGACCCTTGTTCTTGCAATTTTGCACACGTTAGGCCCTTGTTCTTGAAATTTTGTACACGCTAGGCCCTTGTTCTTGCTATTTTGCACACGCTAGACCCTTGTTTTTGCAATTTTGCACACGCTATGCCCTTGTTCTTGCTATTTTGCACACGCTAGACCCTTGTTCTTGCAATTTTGCACATGCTAGGCCCTTGTTGTTGCAATTTTGCACACGCTAGGCCCTTGTTCTTGCAATTTTGCACATTAGGCCCTTGTTCTTGCAAATTTTCACATGCTAGGGCCTTGTTCTTGCTATTTTGCACACGCTAGGCCCTTGTTCTTGCTATTTTGCACACGCTAGACCCTTGTTCTTGCAATTTTGCACAAGCTATGCCTTTGTTCTTGCTATTTTGCACATGCTAGACCCTTGTATTTGCAATTTTGTACACACTAGGCCCTTGTTCTTGCAATTTTGCACATGCTAGGCCGTTGTTCTTGCAATGTTTCACACGCTAGGCCCTTCTTCTTGCAATTGTGGACAGGCTAGGCCCTTGTTCTTGCTATTTTGCACACGCTAGGCCCTTGTTGTTGCAATTTTGCACACGCTAGGCCCTTGTTCTTCCTATTTTGCACACGCTAGACCCTTGTTCTTGCTATTTTGCACACGCTAGGCCCTTGTTCTTGCTATTTTGCACACGCTAGACCCTTGTTCTTGCAATTTTGCTCAAGCTATGCCTTTGTTCTTGCTATTTTGCACATGCTAGACCCTTGTTCTTGCAATTTTGCACACACTAGGCCCTTGTTCTTGCAATTTTGCACACGCTAGGCCCTTGTTGTTGCAATTTTGCATAGCTAGGCCCTTGTTCTTGCAATTTTGCATAGCTAGGCCCTTGTTCTTGCAATTTTGCATGCTAGGCCCTTGTTCTTGCAAATTTTCACATGCTAGGGCCTTGTTCTTGCAATTTTGCACACGCTAGGCCCTTGTTCTTGCTATTTTGCACACGCTAGACCCTTGTTCTTGCAATTTTGCACATGCTAGGCCCTTGTTCTTGCGATTTTCCACACGCTAGGCCCTTGTTCTTGCAATTTTGCACGCTAGGCCCTTGTTCTTGTAAATTTGTACACGCTAGACCCTTGTTCTTGCAATTTTGCACACGCTATGCCCTTGTTCTTGCAAGTTTGCACATGCTAGGCCCTTGTTCTTGCTATTTTGCACACGCTAGACCCTTGTTCTTGCAATTTTGCACAAGCTATGCCTTTGTTCTTGCTAATTTGTACACGCTAGACCCTTGTTCTTGCAATTTTGCACACGCTAGGCCCTTGTTCTTGCAATTTTGTACACGCTAGGCCCTTGTTCTTGCTATTTTGCACACGCTAGACCCTTGTTCTTGCAATTTTGCACACGCTATGCCCTAGTTCTTGCTATTTTGCACACGCTAGACCCTTGTTCTTGCAATTTTGCACACGCTAGGCCCTTGTTCTTGCAATTTTGTACACGCTAGGCCCTTGTTCTTGCTATTTTCCACACGCTAGACCCTTGTTCTTGCAATTTTGCACACGCTATGCCCTTGTTCTTGCTATTTTGCAAACGCTAGACCCTTGTTCTTGCAATTTTGCACACACTAGGTCCTTGTTCTTGCTATTTTGCACACGCTAGGCCCTTGTTCTTGCAATTTTGCACATGCTCGGCTCTTGTTCTTGCTATTTTGCACACGCTATGCCCTTGTTCTTGCAATTTTGCACACGCTAGGCCCTTGTTCTTGCAAGTTTGCACACGCTAGGCCCTTGTTCTTGCTATTTTGCACACGCTAGACCCTTGTTCTTGCAATTTTGCACAAGCTATGCCTTTGTTCTTGCTATTTTGCACACGCTAGGCCCTTGTTCTTGCAATTTTGTACACGCTAGGCCCTTGTTCTTGCTATTTTCCACACGCTAGACCCTTGTTCTTGCAATTTTGCACACGCTATGCCCTTGTTCTTGCTATTTTGCACACGCTAGACCCTTGTTCTTGCAATTTTGCACACGCTAGGCCCTTGTTCTTGCAATTTTGTACACGCTAGGCCCTTGTTCTTGCTATTTTCCACACGCTAGACCCTTGTTCTTGCAATTTTGCACACGCTATGCCCTTGTTCTTGCTATTTTGCAAACGCTAGACCCTTGTTCTTGCAATTTTGCACACGCTAGGTCCTTGTTCTTGCTATTTTGCACACGCTAGGCCCTTGTTCTTGCAATTTTGCACATGCTCGGCTCTTGTTCTTGCTATTTTGCACACGCTATGCCCTTGTTCTTGCAATTTTGCACACGCTAGGCCCTTGTTCTTGCAAGTTTGCACACGCTAGGCCCTTGTTCTTGCTATTTTGCACACGCTAGACCCTTGTTCTTGCAATTTTGCACAAGCTATGCCTTTGTTCTTGCTATTTTGCACACGCTAGGCCCTTGTTCTTGCAATTTTGTACACGCTAGGCCCTTGTTCTTGCTATTTTCCACACGCTAGACCCTTGTTCTTGCAATTTTGCACACGCTACGCCCTTGTTCTTGCTATTTTGCACACGCTAGACCCTTGTTCTTGCAATTATGCACACGCTAGGTCCTTGTTCTTGCTATTTTGCACACGCTAGGCCCTTGTTCTTGCAATTTTGCACATACTCCGCTCTTGTTCTTGCTATTTTGCACACGCTAGGCCCTTGTTCTTGCAATTTTGCACACGCTAGGCCCTTGTTCTTGCAAGTTTGCACACGCTAGGCCCTTGTTCTTTCTATTTTGCACACGGTAGACCCTTGTTCTTGCAATTTTGCACAAGCTATGCCTTTGTTCTTGCTATTTTGCACACGCTAGACCCTTGTTCTTGCAATTTTGCACACGCTATGCCCTTGTTCTTGCAATTTTGCACACGCTAGGCCCTTGTTCTTGCTATTTTGCACACGCTAGATCCTTGTTCTTGCAATTTTGCACACGCTAGGCCCTTGTTCTTGCAATTTTGTACACGCTAGGCCCTTGTTCTTGCTATTTTGCACACGCTAGACCCTTGTTCTTGCAATTTTGCACACGCTATGCCCTTGTTCTTGCAAGTTTGCACATGCTAGGCCCTTGTTCTTGCTATTTTGCACACGCTAGGTCCTTGTTCTTGCAATTTTGCACAAGCTATGCCTTTGTTCTTGCTATTTTGCACACGCTAGACCCTTGTTCTTGCAATTTTGCACACACTAGGCCCTTGTTCTTGCAATTTTGCACACGCTAGGCCCTTGTTGTTGCAATTTTGCACACGCTAGGCCCTTGTTCTTGCAATTTTGCACGCTAGGCCCTTGTTCTTGCTATTTTGCACACGCTAGACCCTTGTTCTTGCAATTTTGCACACGCTAGACCCGTGTTTTTGCAATTTTGCACACTAAGCCCTTGTTCTTGCAATTTTGCACACGCTAGACCCTTGTTCTTGCAATTTTGCACACGCTAGGCCCTTGTCCTTGCAATTTTGCACACGCTAGGCCCTTGTT